TTTGTATATAGACTTGACAGATTTCACGGGAAAGGAAAAGCACGAACCCAGAGCACGAACGAGCCAACCCCTGCACCACGGCCCGGACGCGACGACCATTGAGGGCCCAGGGCTGGGAGGGGAAGCTTCTTGCGCTTTACCCCCCAGTCCCATATTTGTGGATGACCCTAACCTGTACCCCAATTACAAATGTGCGTTCTGCTGTTGGGAATACCTGCTGAGATTATTTTGTTGTCGCCCAGTTGATTAGGTCAGCCCAGTTGTGGTTCTAACTAAGGGCTCGTATGGTAAGGGCATATTACCGGAAATTGAACTTCTTGGTTCTTGCAAAGCCTAAACCCTACACCCGAAAACTTTTTAAACCCTAAAGTCTGAAGCCTAAAGGCTCAGAGCGGGTTTAGTTTCAGGTGACAAGTCAGGTGGTGTGAGCATTTCAGAGAAGCTCCCTGGGCTCTACCAGCAGGCTCCCCCAACTCGGGATTCCGATAGCACCTGCAGTTGGTAACAGTTTGGGCCGTTCTCTTCATGATTTAAGAGGACCCAGGCGGTTTAAAGATTTAGCTGGCCAGCCTAGGCTAGGATGGTCGTGATGGCGAGGGGGTGACTGACAGGAAACATTTACTGCGGTGCTGCAGCATCACCTACTCGGGATTGGTGCGCGCTGCTTCGGAGGGGATGAGGTTCGTGAGAGCACACTGCTGGGACAGAAACTCGGTGGAGAGGATTCCAGGCAGCTCTTGAACCCGTTTTTGATTTGCATGCTTCTGAAAACGGATGAAGCACGTACAGACTTCAAAGGACTCTCCACAACAGCTCAGGATTGGGGTGGGGACAGCTTGTCCAAACACCATTTTTTCGTCGTCAGGCCGAGTCCTTGTCCGAAATATAACTATAGTCTCCATTCTAGTTCCGTTTTGTCTGGGTTGTCCAGGCATATATTGAGGATCCGCTAAGGTAACCCCGAAAAGGAACTACCAAGGAGACTATCGTTATCATGCGTGTTTTGCGGTGTTGGGTCTCTGAATTCCAAGCTGGTACCGCAAAAACAAAACAAAAGTAGGATCTGCTTGCTGAGCAGCTTCTGAAAGAAAAAACAAAAAGCATCTAGTAGAACCTATTTGCTGTGCAGCGATTGTACCCCAGGGATCCATATCATATGCCCATGTAGTATATACCTTTGGCTTGTCGTGCCTATGTGGGGACTCCTTTAAGGCCGAAGTTTCACTATGTACATGGACCTTTAGTTGAGTGTACGACCCTGAGAGGTATCGGCCAGACGAGGATCGGATGCTGGATATGCACGTGGACGAATGCGATGTGACCTTCAACTTCGGGCTGTCAGACACAATCAACTTCACCGGCAGCGACCTAGCACCGTGGCTTAGTTTTTTTCTGAGTATGGGTGTGTAATACAGGGGCCTGAATAATTAGCAATATTATCCTTTTATAGCATGCTTTTATGTAACTACACTACAACATGTCGGCAATCCCTATTCCAAGTCCGTATGCCAGCTTCTAACGGCCCCTCCTTTGATTGGGAACGGTTTGTTCCGAAGCAGCAATTACCTGAAGCCAGTGCTGTCTTTGTTTTTCCGGTTCCCGAGCCGCAATTTCCCAACAGATGTGGTGTGTATGTACATAATATATATATATATAGATATATACACACACATATTTTTCACATGAATGTATGTATGCATGCATGCATGCATGCATGCATGCACGTATGTATGTATGTATGTATGTATGTATGTATGTATGTATGTATGTATGTATACACACATACGTAAACAAAAGCGTCATCATAAGCAACCTCCGCATACATGCATCCATCCAACCACCACGCCATCCAGCTAGAGAGACGGAGACAAAGAGAGAAAGAGAGAGAGAGAGGGAGAGACAGAGAGAGAGAGAGAGAAAGAGACAGAGAGAGAAAAAGTGAGAGAGAGAGAGGGAGAGAGAGTCGAGAGCGGGAGAGAGAGCAAGAGATCGCGAGAGAGAGAGAGAGGGAGAGGGACAAAAACAACACGGGGAGAGAGAATAGTGGCAGAGCGAGAGAGAGATAGAGAGAGGTTGCGCGATAGAGCAAGCAGCGAGCGAGAGAGAGACAGAGCGACGGAGAGGGGAGCCACGGGCGAGCAGTGACACCCCAAATTTCTGAGATCCTGCATATGAAGCTCCAGCCTCATGCAAGCGCTAATCCCTACAACCGGAAAAGGAGGCATTCACATTTTTCACCCCTTGCTTGGGAAACCCCGTGTCCTGAAAGAAATCGTGTCATATCTCGAGCCTGCCCGTCAGTATTGACCTACCAAGGGATCCTTACTTAAGGGAGCCTAAGCTCCAGAAGTTATGCGTTCCTGGGAACGCTCAGGTGTTCTGTGGCATGCTGGGATCCGCCGACCAGCGCCCCTTATCTCGGAGTCTGTAACATTCTGAAGGATTGTAGTTGGGTTCCGGAGACCGGTTTTTAGATCTGGCGTAATTTAGAAATCAGGTTTCCAGGACCCTACCTTGAAAACCTTGTTGCCACGAAAATCCCTCAAAGGTTGATGGTTGGCGGTTTTAGGCGCAACTTTCAAAAAGTTGCTGGTTTCTGCTTTTCTAACTTAAGCAATAAAACCATAACCCGATTGTATATCCAAGTTATGAGATTAATCTTTGATATGTAATCGTTCTATTGTTTCATATCTACCCTGCATGTTATCCAACCCGAGCAACATAGCACCTATATAGTAGCACTGCCATCACCGCATACACCCATCATCGGCATCATCACCCTGTGCAGCAGCAGAAGCAGCAGGAGCAGCATCACTAGCCCGAGAAAAACAACTCATGATGACGACAACGGGACGAGGACAACAGGAACGACATAATGGGGACTGTATGAGTGTACGTGATATCACATAACCTAGAATATAGAAGCATGCATGCACCCAGGATGCACACACACGCCCGTGAATGCAGAAATGCTTTTCCGTCGAATCATCGATCGAAGCCGATCTTTCTCGCGTGCTTTCTTTCGCACAAATTTGCCATCGGAGCATGATGATATAGGGGCTTTACTCGAGAGGTCGTAGGGTTGTATATCGTTACACAGTATACATCACCACTGCTCCCTAAGATGAATTAAATATGTTCTCATCGTGTGCATGTGGGCCTTTTTAAAAGAGCCTTGTTGAGAAAGACTTGATATCTTTCCCACGAAATCTTCGTCCATTTGGCAACATGCCATCATGGGTGACAACAGCCATCTGCTCCGATTAGCACGGAGCTGAACACGGAGATCATGCAGGAAATGCGTGTAGGCATGCCACTTAGGTGAGAGTTTGAATCGAAGTCGTCGACGAAGAAAAGCACAATGCGCCGCCTTCATATAAAAATCGCAAAAACCCTCCCCTGCTCGCAAAGCTCCGCGGGCTTCAGCTTGCGTGAGCCACAAACCACCAGCATATAATCGCCTCAGGAACTCGTTGGCACACCGAAGTGCACCGCCGATGGCAATCATGTACTCGTTCGAGCTTTCACGACTGATGACATCATACACACATTCCAGCCACAGCATAACCGACGTGGTATCGCCACCTTTAAACCACGTCCTCAGATCGTTTACTTCGTACAGATTATAGAAAGAAAAGATAAACTAGTTGTTTCACTACATATAAAGACAGAAATCAACCCAGACCCATATATGCATACGCACCTACATACCTATTCCTACCTATAGCTACCTACCTACCTACCTACCTACCTATCTACCTACCTACCTACCTACCTACCTACCTACCTACCTACGATCTACCTACCTGCCTACCTGCCTACCTACCTGCCGACGTACTGACCTACCGACCTACCTATATACCTATACATATCTACGTAGCTGCAGAAGCACGTACATGAGACATACATGCATACATATACATGTACATACATACAAAAGAAGTCCTCTTAAGATATATCCGCCTACAGACTGGATTTCTTGATCGAGGAACCCACAAGGGAATTCTTTTTCGTTCGGGTAGTGCAGCAATACTCGGGTAAATTTGGAGAGATGAAGGCTCAGAGCATTCTTTTTGCAAAATTGTTGCAAGCGATCATACAGCCTGTCAAGCCGATCGTGTACATTCCCACAACCAGCCAAGCTCTCATCCAGCAGAGCAACCTACAGCTTTAAAAAAAAAACGAAACAAGCACCTTAATCAGCTTATCTATTTTGATAAAAGATGTTCGCGAACTGTTTTGTCCAAGAAGCTATCGCCGAACCAGCAAGTTCAGCAAAGACACCTTTGTGACAAACGTGGAAGACGTCATACAACAGGGTCCTTTCCTGGGCAGGGGCTTGATGTAGTTGACTGAGTGGTCCATCTCCACGGGTGAAAGGCGAACTTTGCAAATAGGTCGGTATCCATCCGGCGTGTTCATCATACTCATGAAATGGCACCCCTGCCGTACCTGCCATGCACAAATGGCAGATGCCTGGACGGTCTGCCCCAAATGCAAGCCTTCCGAAATGGCGACCCAAGCACCCAAGCCGTGTCAAGATTGGCCAGTCTCCCTTGACCCCTATCACGGAGAGGCCAAGTTTGTGGTTTCCAGAAGCCAATGACACACCAATGCCCTCCTCGAACATTAGATTGAACTCGTTGACCAAAACCCGTATGAGATCATCGAAGGTCTCTGCAGACTTGCGGTACTTGCGCTTCAACATGCAAGACAGCAGAAATCTTGTTTTATAGCTCGACCCCGCAAAATTCAACCCCATTCCATCAACGTTTGAACGGTGATGCTGGCTTGATAAAGTCCCAGCACCCAAGGCCGGCTGAAACGATACAACCATAATGCTTTGTTTCTTCAACGTTTGACCTTCGTCTGCGTAAAGGAGGACTGGAATCTGAAAGCGCCTGGAATTTTCTGACTTCTTGTAGATTGGGTGCTCCGGGCACACAGCCTGGTACCTCTTCCAAAACTCGGCAATCTTGTCAAAGCACACCTCACCACCCATGAGCAGGTGTAGTTTGTCCTGCCCCGTGAATACACGGAGGTAATCACTCACCTTGAAATACGGATGGCCCGGGAGTCCTGGGAGGTCCACCCTGGAAATGGGGATTGGAGCACTGAGCCCTTGCCGTATGTACAATGCCTCTGTCTGGTTCTCATGTCGTGTATTACTCGCACGAGACATAGCTTTCAATACAGCAGCACTCGCCAAAGCATCATCATCACTGTCCACTCCCGTGGCTTCCTTGTACTCTGTCCAGAAGCTGTTGGCAATCTCACAGACCAGGCGGTTGCAAACCTAAGCAAAACACTGTTGGAAAGGGCAATATGAAAAACATAAAGACCACATTTCTTTACATTATAGAGATTTCGTTGTTTTCTGGGACATATAAACTTGCACATGTCGAGCAGCTCCTCTGGAGCTAGCCTTCGCCAAAGCCAGAGCAACAGGGCCACGTCCACGTGCACCTGCGAAGGCGTCCAGGTTTCGGAAAAAAAAACATAAGGGAACAGGGGGTGGTTTCAAAATGAGAACAGGAGGTTATGTAAAGAAGTGAGGGAGACCGACAGAGTGAGAAAGCCATTATAATGGTTTGAATGACAGAGACAAGGGGAGATATTGCAAGGAGTTGACCGATCAGAACACAGCCGACAATAAGGTGTGTGTGGCATGTGTTATACAATATAAAGACACATATGGCCCGGGTAAGGTTTAGAGCTTAGGGTTTGAGGTGACAAGTGACAAACTTGGGGGACGTTTACTAAGGAACTTGGATAAACAAACAAACAGACAAAGAAGCAAAAACACAAACAAACAAACAACATAAATAACTAACTAGCTAACTAACCAACAAACTAACCAATCATTATGTAGTACGGATATGCTTGTAAGTTTGGATATATATATATATATACACATATTTATATTTGTAGGACACTGTGTGTGTATATATATATATACACATGTAGGTATACATGTATATAGATATAGATATTTCTATAGACATAGAGATATAGGTTTAGGTGTAAATATAAATACAGATGTAGATATCGGTGTATGCGTATACACACCCACATAGCACCGATAATGCTAGCTATGGTTTGTGCTTCAGACACACAAACAGACAGATGCCATGAATCGTGTACACGTGTATCTACACCACCCGGCCACCCACCCACCCACCCACCCACCCACCCACCCACCCACTCACCCAGCCACCCACCCAGGCTCCCAAATATACTCGTCGGCGCTCGCACTCACTTGCAAAAGAAGTTCACACAGCCATCTCTCGCCACTAGCTTTTTGTCGGCCCCGTTGCTTGCTTCCTGTTCGAAGGCTCTGCTATGGAAGCAGTGCGAACAGTTCCGATGAAAGCCCCATCAAATTACTGGCCTGGAGGTTCTGCCCCCAGGGGAAAACACCCGCACAAACATAAGTTTGTGATTTGCATCGGTCGAACAATGCAGTAACATCATAACACTGATGACATACCTTTGACTATCTTCATAGAAGGATATATGGACTAGGCTCGAGCTAACAAGTACAGATAACACACGTAAAACTTTCATAATTGTTGACGACGATGCTACAACCACTTAGTCCTTGTTCTTGGACTTGCTCTTGCTTTTGGCTTTGGCTTTGGCTTTTACCTTTTCCTTAGCCTGGACGGGTCTCTTTGGGGGTTTGCTCTGGTGGGACTCCGACTCATCTTCGTCGCCCTCCTCGCCATCGGCGTGCTTCTTTTTCGCCTTCAGAACCGTCCTTGCATTTTGCATACATGAACAGCACTGAAGCCAGCATCGGTTTAGACTCCACTGACAACCAAGCATGAACCTGACAACTTAAGCCCTGGACTTTCTGATCTTGTTCTCTGTCATCACAGCTTTAGCACACCTGAGAAACTGACAACATGATTGTGTTGAACTCCTGGAATGGACAACAGCTATCAGCTAACATCTAAAAGTAAACTTATCAGCGATCGACTGATATTGTATTCATGGCACACCATTTCCACTTCTCGCTGCTTGTCATGCAGCTCCTTAAGCTTCCTCAGGATGCACGAGCATGAAACTTTGTCACACACACACACACAGTGTGTGTGTGTAAAATGATAACATATTGAAATACCATAGATGCTTCCTAGACTCTCTGGCGACAGCGTTTTGTGTGCTTTGTAGTAACTGTAAATCTCGGCGATGGCATCATGAAGCCCGATCATACTCTCCATGGAATCTGCAATGCTTTCGGCCTGCCTTGGGTTGACAACGAGTGTTTACAAATATCATGACAGGACAAGAAGCTATATCTGTCTAGTGGCTTCGAAGCATTTTTGGCTTTACTCGTATCAAGCTTCTCCTTGAGGGCTTTGTGCTTCTTCACGGTGTTGAGAAGGGTCGCGAGGAGTGTGGG